CAGACTGTAACACTTTCTGACTGTATAGATTGCTTGCTTGCTGAATCCTCTGCACCTAAGCATCCTCATCTGTGACATAGATGATATGTTGCTGCCTTCCAGCGTTATTATGAGGCTTTAGGGAGATAAGGCGCATGGGCACGTGTGTCTGACCCTGAAGGGCAGACTTGTGTGTAAGTGGTTTACAAAGGAAACACTCCCAGGGGAGACTGATACCAGAACTAGAACTGCGAAAGCCAGGCAGGACAGGGGACAACCTCAGGCCAGGTCCCAGGGAGCTCTACAGTGTGCGTTGTCCTAGCAAAGACAGCAGAGGGAAATGCAAGTTCTCAGGCCCTTTCTGAATGAAGATGGGCTTCAGCTATCCAAAGGCAATCCTCCAAAGACAGAAACACTAACACGAGATCCAAGGAGATTGGGTGGTGAACCAACGTTGTCAATTATAACTTAGCACATTATCAAGACTGAATAGCTGTTGGTCCTTGTTGTGACTGTTGATATTATTAGCATAACAACAATGATTATTATTCATTTCCTTGGTGAGGGTGGGCTGAAACTTTAAGACTGATGTTCCTGAGCCCAGTGAAAGACAAGGGAATTAATCTAGTGGGAATGGGACGCATAGCCCCAGCCAGGCATCTAAAATACTAGTCCTGTTTCTCTGTGGTTAACGTACTTCTGGAGCATAGCAACCTCCATGCCCCCCTCTCCTATCGGGTACGCAACACTGGAGGGGAGGTGGGGCAGAGGTTTGGCCCAGGGCCCATATGGGCAGGGATGAGAGCCCCCATTGGGCTTGAGATTAGGAACAGGGGAGGCAGCTGAGTCAGTGGTCAGCACCCTGGTGAGGGACCTCTACCAGCCCTGGAGGGGGGCACCAGGAGCAAAGGCTGCCCTGAGGGTGGGATGCCATGGAGTCTGTGACTCATCACCCTCCAACTCAGCCCTGACACCTCCCCTCTGGTGTGGCCCAGCCCACCCTACAGTTCTTCTTCCTTCCCTGCAGCTGGTGGGCTTTGTCCCATTGTAGGCTGTGAGTGTGTAGTGCCAGGGGGTGTTTTAACATAGCTAGGCTGCCAAGAGTACATTATTCTCATACAGAAATCCTAAATATTGCCCAGGGGATGGGATATTTTTGTAACCAAAAGAAAAAGGGGAAGGGGGTCCCAAAGCTCTAGAAGCCCCATTGTTCTGAGGTTGATGATAGTGGGTATTTCAAAATCTGAAGCCTCCAAACTCTGAATTTACTGTTTGTTTGCTTTATTCAATAAATAGAGTTCAAAATTATTTATTGGTTGTCACCATGGTATTCCAGGTAGAAGAAACAGCCTATGCAAAGACAGAGAGGTAGGCAAGGACATGCTTGACAGCTTCTAAGAAAGTATAACCTGAAGATCAGGATTTGGTTGCAAGTGATCGAAATTCGATCTCACACCGACTTAGGCAAAGACAAAGAGCTAACTGGTTCATATGACTGAATGAACAAGGGATGGCTTCAGGCATGGCTGGATCTAGGGGCTCAAACAATATTATCAAGGCACAATTTTCCTCCGTTTCTGGGCTCTGCCTTCCCTACCATTGGCTTGACTCTCAGGACGGCTCTTGACATCCAGTGACTCAGTGAACTCCATCCTTACATTCTCCCAGCCTCAAGCCCAATGGAAAGAGTTCTCTTTCCTAATCATAGGAAAAATCCTGTGGCTGAATCTCATTGAACTGGCCCCCTAGAGTGTGGGTCCAACTTGAGCCATGTGATTAGTGTGGCTTGGGAGGTAAGCCATGTGGATGAGTTCCTACTTCCTTACGTCGTCCATGCTACCCTTAAAAATTTTTTTTCAGAATTTGTTATGTTCTTCCACAATTTTATTTCTCCCTCTAGCCTGGATTAGCTCAAACCCAAGACTCTGGGCTCCATTTCCAGGCACCACTGGATGTACCTTCTGTATAACAACTGGAAAGATATCTTCCATGAATCGAGCTCTCCCTCTGTGCTAGGCACAAATTTCTCATAGTGCAATGTTATACTGAATCCTCATGCATCATTGGACTACTGAGTCAAACATCCCTGAGAGCTAACTACCCAGCTCTGGACCTCTGTGGATATGAAACACATTTCCTTATTGTTGACTTGGATTTTGTTAGGTTCTCTGTTACCTGAAGCTATAAGAACCCCCAGCTTACAATTCATTCTTACTTTCAGCGGATGTCTTAGTCTGGGTTTTCTAGAGGAGCAAAACCAGTGAAGTGTATATAAATATACATCAAGAGAGATAAACTTTATGGGAATGGCTCATGCACCTATGGGGACTTGCATGTTCCAAATCCCTGTGTCAGCTGGCTGGCTGAAGGTTTCTTTGTTGGCTAGCATGATTGTAGGGGCTAGCAAATCCAAAGCCTACAGGTCAGGTAGCAGATGACAGATGTCTGCAGGCTTATTTCCCTAGAATCACAGGTCAGGAGAGAATAGAGTGCGGGGTGGAGAAATAGAACAAACTTTACCAGAATGTCCATTTATGGACTGCAGACAGCCACGCCTCCAAGGAAACTCCACTCTCACTTCAGATCATAAAATGGAATGTGATTACCATCTGGCAAACCACTGACACGTAACATTAGTTATCACAGTGGGCAATGAAATTTTTACCTGACCTGTACCCTGAGGTGGTTGTTATTATTATCCCCATTTTATAGATGGGAAAACTGAGGCATAGAGAGACTCATTCCTGAACCACTGGCTAAAGTTAGGAGGGATGTGGAGCTCCAAATGGCCATATCGGAGTTACACACCCAAACATAGATTCCTGGTGTGGTTACTGTGCTGAACTGCATGTCAGTTTCTCGGTCCGTGGCTCAAGCCCATCAGCTCTTCCTAGGAAACCCTATGCAGGGTCACTATGAGTTGGAATTGACTTGATGGCACTTACCAACAATAACAACAACTAAACATGGAGCCACGATGAGGTTAGCCTCAACTGAACCACATAGAATGAGAGAGGGCATGGAGAAGAGGAAAGAATTTAACACATACCCCATATGTTGTTGTTGTTGTTAGGTGCCATCGAGTCAGTGCCAATTCATAGTGACCTTATGCACAGCAGAATGAAACACTGTCTGATCCTGGGCCAACCTCACTATTGTTGCCACACTTGAGCCCACTGATGCTGCCACTTGGCCAATCCATCTCGCTGCAGTCTTCCTCTTTTTCTCTGACCCTCCACCTTACCAAACATGATATCCCTCTCCAGTGACTGTTCCCTTCTGACAATAGGTCTGAAGTATGAGAAGCGAAGTTTGGCCATCTTGGCCTCCAAGGAGCACTCTGGCTGTACTTCTTCCAACACAGATCTGTTTGTTCTTTTGGCAGCCCATGGCACTTTCAATATTCTCCTCCAACACCATAACTCAAATGCGTTGATTCTTCTACGGTCTTCCTTATTCACTGTACAGCTTTCGCATGCATATGAGGTTAATGAAAATACCATGGCTTGGGTCACAGGAACCTTAGTCCTCAAGCTGACATCTTTGCTCTTCAACACTTTAAAAAGGTCTTGTGCAGCAGATTTGCCTAATGCAGTATGTTGTTTGATTTCTTAACTGCTGCTTCCGTGAGTGTTGATAGTTGATCCAAGAAGAATGAAGTCCTTGACAGGGTCAATCTTTTCTCCATTGATAAGAATGTTGTTTATTGGTCCAGTGGTAAGGATTTTTGTTTTCTTTACATTGAAGAGTAATCTATACTGAAGGCTGTGGTCTTTGATCTTCATCAGTAAATATTTTAAGTCCTTTTCACTTTCAGCAAGCAAGGCTGTATCATCTGCAATATCCAGATGATGCCCCATAAACTAGGTTGCAAATAATGGTAACCTAATTTAGACCAATGGAGTCTGGTGTGGCTCTGTGGGTTAATGCACTAGACTGCAAAGCCATTTGAACTGCAAGGTCAGAGGTTCAAGCTCACTAGCTGCTTCTCAGAAACCCTAGACAGGGTTGCTATGGGTCAGAACTGACTCAACGGCACTTAACAACAGCAACAATTTAGACCAATTTGAAGGAAAAGGAGCCGTGCTGGCTCATGGGATACAAGAAAGGTTTAGCAGTCAGACCACTGGCAGGACACACTCACCTTCTTATCTGAGCTTCTCTCTCTTTGTCGGCTTCCACGTTTCCAAGCCAGATTCCGTGAGAAGGGCTTTGATTGAGCAGGAGGGCAGGATCCCATTCGGACAGGGGAGCTCCTGAAAGTACCACAAGATTGAAGCAGTGGTGGTTTCTAGAAAAAGAGTGGGGCAAGTTTGTTGCTAGTTGCCATTAAGTTGATTCCCCCTCATGGTGATTTATGTACAAGAAGGAAATGTTGCCTAGTCTTGGCTTACCTTCATGATCCTGCATGTGTTTGAGTCAACTGTTGTGACGATTATCAGCAGATTGACTCCTTGAAATTGTATCCAGTGGGGCAAGGTATTGGCCACACAAGAATTTAAGTGTCCTCTGAGGGACAAGTATGTGTATGTTTGGGATGCTTATACCGGCAGGTAACAAAGAATTGGACATAAACCAGCTTAACTTAAAATGGGGAAATCTCTCCCATATAAAAAAGAAGTTCCGATAGGATGGCTCTCAGAGCTCTTTAATGGTCTAATGATGTCATCGCTCCATCATTCTGCTCAGCACCCAAAGTGTTAGCTCCGTCCTAAGGTCAGTGGCCTGCAAGGTCATATACTGGCTTCCATCTACCAGGTGAGGGAGCCCAGAGTCATGGGATGAGAGTTCTTCCCTCCGTGGCACTCTGGACCCAGAGAATCTCATGCTCCAGTTGACTTAAGCTCAGGTTTCTGAGCCAGTCATTGTTTGAGAGGATGGGGCACCAAGATTTCCTTAGATTAGTTAAGACCCACCCCTAGAACTGAGGTCTGTTCTAAAATGACTTTCTTCCTCTAATGGGTCTAGCTAGATGGAGTGGACACATCTCATCTCATGGCCTTTTTGCCTTTGTCACACAGGGGTCCTGTGGCTGTCAGTGGTCTCCGAGGTGCTCTATATTCTCCTGCTGGTGGTTGGCTTCAGCCTCATGTGTCTTGAACTCTTCCACTCCAGCAGTGTCATTGATGGGCTCAAACTCAATGCCTTCGCAGCCGTCTTCACGGTGCTCTCAGGTAAGGCTGTGGGCCTCGGACCAGTAGCCAGAGACATGGGTTGGACTTAGAGAGCAGACCAAGAGGATGCCAGGTCTAGGTGCTTCCAGCCATGGAAAAAGCCAGGCACTGGAGACAACCTTGGGTTAAGCTCTGGTGTATCTACTAGGTGTGACCTTCTCTGTTCTGAACCTCAGTTTTCTCATTTGTAAGATGGGGGGGGGGTGTCTTTTTTTTTTTTTAAATGTTTTATTGTGAATTATGTGATAGTTTACGTGGGAGAACATCAGTTTTATATTCATCCTATCGTATATCGTTTCATTGCCATGGTTACAATCCCCACCATGCATATCAACCAACCAAAGGGTATACCCTGCAAACCTGCCCCTCCCCTGCATCTCCCCCAGTTGTCAGCACACAGCCCCTCTGATGAGGGGGGGGGTGTCTTTTATACACTCCTTCCACAAGTATTTAAGGAGCCTCTATCATGTGGCAGGCAAGGTCAGCAGTTCAAATTCACTAGCCACTCCTCAGAAATACTGGGTTGCTATGAGTCAGAACTGACTTGATGGCATTTAACAGCAACATCCTTATGTGTCGAGTTCTGGGGTTACAGTAATGGACAAAAGCAGACAGTCCCAGCCTTCACGGAACTTAAGACTTGGAGGGAGGTAGATTAGCTGGAGATGTATTTGGTTTGGGGTGTGAGGGAGCGGGAGGCTGCTGTGCAGAACTAAACAGAAGGTGGTGTCCTTCACAGAGATGTATCAGTGGAGGAGGAGCCTATTTGGGAGGCGGTCCCTAACACATCTGCTTTAGCTTTTGAAGCATCAAAATGGAGGATACCGCATAGGAAGTTGGACAAACAAACATATCTGGGTTAAGGGGTGGGCAGGGCAGATATCTTGGAGAAAGGCCAAAGAGTCAAGGATTTTGAAGGTTTTATGAAGAATCATATAGATTTTATTATACAAGAAGGTCAACAGCATCATTTTCATCAGGGAGGTGGAGACAGAAGACCCCAAGAAAAAGGCATTGGATTTAGTGGCTGGATGCTCAGAGCACAGTTTCAGCAGGTCGCGGTCATATGGGGTTTAGCAGGGTGTGTGCCAGAAGAGAGTAAAAGGAGCCTGTAAACTTTTAAGTTCAGGCGGCCTGACAGACAAAGTGGTGGTTTGGCTGTGTCAGACATCCCTTCCTAAAAAGCCACATGTAAATTAAATCTCTATAAATCTAATCCTATTCTGTAGGCACTGGAAGAACGCTCTATGTAATGAAATGGAAACAGTTCACCTTTTGGTAAGGGAAATAAGTGCCCACTCATTGAGGTATATATATATATATATATATATATATATATATATATATAACAGAGGGGTCTCTCAAGGGATGTTGTTGTTAACTCGGTTCCAACTCATAGCGACCCTGTTTCCAAGGAGCTGCTGGTGGGATTCAACTGCTGACCTCTCAGTTAGTAGTCCAGACTTTATCCTATAGTGTCTCACCAGGACTCCTCAAAGGATAGCTGAATTCAAGAAAGGATGGTAAGCAAACAGAATCCTTCAATACACTGCCGACAAGAGTCACACCTTACAAACAAAGACAAAATTAAACTAAAAATGAGCATGTGGAGAAAATATGTCAAGCAAATAGCAATCAAAAATGAGCAGGAGTGGCAATATTAAGCTCTGATAAAATAGACTTTAAGGCAAAACTAAGCATGTTGTTGTTGTTGTGTGCCGTGGAGTCGGTTCCGACTCATAGCGACCCTGTACAGGGTTTCCGAGGCTGTAAATCTTTAAGGGAGCAGAAAGCCTCATCTTTCTCCCGCGGAACAGCTGATAGTTTCGAACTGCTGACCTTTCATAAGAGACAAAAAAAGAATATTCTCTCGTGATTAAAGGCTCCTTTGAACAAGAGGACATAGCCATAATAAATATCTATGTTCCCAGTGGAAGAGCCTCAAAATATATAAGTCAGACTCTACTAGAATTGAGTGTAATGTTAAGCAATAGACTGCTAAGTACAGGGTCACTATGGGACAGAACTGACTCGATAGCACTCAACAACAACACCAACAATAGAACTAAAAAGAAAGAAATAGACAATTCCACAGTTGTAGTAGGAGATTTTAACACATCATTTTCGATGAATGACAGAGCAACTGGAAAGAAACTCAACAAAGGCACAGAAGCACTGAACAACACAATCAACCAACTTGACCTCATAGACATACAGAGCACTCAACCCAACAATAACACAATAGTCAGTCTTCTCCAGTGCACGTGGAACACTCTCCAGAATAGACCATACGTTAGGCCACAGAGTAAAGCTCAATAAAATATAAACTATTACAAAGCATCTTCTCAGATCACACCACTATAAAATTAGATATCAACAACAGGAAGATCAAGGGTGTGGGGGGATCAAATGCATGGAAATTGAATAACTCCTGGGTAGTTAAAGAAATGAAAAAAAAATGAAATGAAAAATTTCTTGAATCAAATGAGAATGAAAACACTACATACGCAGCAAACCACAGCTTGGGATCCATCAAAAGCAGTGCTCAGAGGGCAATTTATAGCAATAATAATAATATATACATTAAAAAAAAAAGGAAACAAAAGCACATTAACACAACATCTCCAACAATTAGAAAAAGACCAGCAAAGTTAAGCCTACAGTCACCAGAAGAAAAGAAATAATAAAGATTAGAGCAGAAATAAATGAGATAGAATACAGATAAAACAATAGAAAGACTCAACAAGACAAGGAGGTTTTTTTTTGGTTTTTTCCCCAAAGGATTAATAAAAGCAACAACCATTGGCAAATCTAACAAAAGAAAAGAAGAAGATGCAAATAACCTGAATAAGAAATGAACCAACAGAAATAAGAAGTATCATAACAGAATACTATGAAGAATTGTACTCCAACAAATTTGAAAACCTAGAAGAACTAGATACATTTGTAGAAACATACCTAAACTAACATAGACCGAAGTAGAAATCTTGAACAGACCTAAAAACAAAAGAAGAAATTCATCAAGTCATTAAAAAAAACTCCCAATAGTAAACCAGTTTGGGCCCAGGTGGTTTTAGTGGTGAATTCTACCAAGTGTTCAGAGAAGAGCTAACACCAATTCTACTCTAATTATTCCAGAATGCAGAAAAGGATGGAGAGCTCCTGAATTCATTCTGTGAAACATGCATAACTCTGATACCAAAACCAGGCAACAACATCACTAAGAAAGGAAATTACAGAGTAATATCCCTCATGAACATAGATGCAGAAATTCTCAACAGAATCCTAGTCAATAGTATCTAACAAGATGTCCAAAAAAAGGCATCATGACCAAATGGGATTCATATCAGGTACTCAGAGATGGTCCACTCTTAGATAAATGATCAATGTAATCCACCACATAAGTAAAGCAAACGGGGGGAGGGAGGGAGGAGAACATATGTTTGTATCTGTTGATACAGAACAGGCATTTGACAAAATCCAACACCTGTTTAAGATAAAAAGCAACTCAACAAATTAGGAATAGAAGGGGAATTCCTCAACATAATTAAGGGCATATATACAAAACCAACAACCAACATCACTCTCGGTGGAGAGAAACTGAAACCATTCCCCTTGCAAACAGGAACCAGACAAGATTGCCCTTTATCACTACTTTTATTCAATACTGTCCTGAAAGTCTCAGCCAGAGCTATAAGACACAAAAGGGAAATTAAACACAGCAAAATTGGAAAAGAAGAAGTAAAACTCTCTTTATTTGTAGATGATATGATTCTATACTTAGAAAACCCCAACAACTCAGCACAAAAACTGTTGGACCTCATCAAAAGATTCAGCAAAGTGTCAGGGTACAAGATCATATCCATTGGATTCCTTTATACCAATACAGAGAACTCGGAAAAGGAAATCAGGAAAGCAATACCACTTGTAATAACTACTCAAAAGATGAAATACTTAGGAATAAATCTAACCAGAAAAACAAAAGACCTATACAAAGAAAAAGGAGCTCTGGTAGCGTTGTGGTTATGAGTCAGGCTACTAACCTCTAGGTCAGCTAGTTTGAAACTACCAGCAGTTCCAATGGAGAAAGATGAGGCTTTTTGCTCCTGTAAATATTTACATCCTTAGAAATCCCTAATAGGGTCACTCTGAGTCAGAAGTGACTCCACGGCACACCACCATACAAAGAAAAGGACAAAATACTGCTCCAAGAAACCAGGAGACCTACAAAAATGGAAGAATATACCATGCTTGTGAACAGGAAGGCTTAACATTGTGAAACTGTCAATACTACCCAAAGCAATCTATAGATACATGGAATCCCAATCTAGGTTCTAACAGCATTCTATACAGAGATAGAAAGACTCATCATCAACTTCATGTGGAAAGGAAAGAGACCCCACATAAGCAAAGCATTACTAAAATAGAAAAACAAAATAGGAGTCCTCTCACATCCCAAACTCAAAACCTGCCTACTACACAGCCACAGTAATCAAAACAGCTTGCTACTGGTAAATGAAAGGCATACAGGTCAACGGAGCAGAATTGAGAACCCAGAAGTAAAGCCTATGCTCAGCTGACCTTTGACAAAGGATCAAATACATTAAATGAAAAGAGAAAGTCTCTTCAACAAATGGTTCTGGCAAAATTGGAAATCCATTTACAGAAGAATGAAACAAAACCCATATCTCACACCATATACAATAGTGAACTTAACATTGATTGAAAACCTAGAACTATCAAAATCATCAAAGAAATAGGGACAAACTTAGGTGGTCTGATTCATCGCATTAATACACTATCAAACATAACTGAAAACACATAAACATCAGAAGACAAAATAGATGACTGGAAACTCCTAAAACTTAGACAGTTAATGTGCATCAAAAGATTTTACTAAAAGAGTAAAAAGAAAGCCGCAGACTGAGAAAAGACTTATAGCAATAGCATATCAGACAAAGTACTACAAATGTTCTATACATTTTAGACAGTAGTACTTA